GTACTTGCACAAGAACACTGACGTTCTAATGTATAAAATCAGTGCTTCTTGCACAAATACTCTGATGCTCCCACTCAGGGATAAGCCCATGTGCGCAACTATTCTTGCTCAAGAGGCCAGTGTAGACAGGCAACATCAATTTCTTGCGCAAGAAAGCCCCATGGTTAAAATGGCCATCGGAGCTTTCTTGCGCAAGAGAGCATCTACACTGGCATGGATGCTCTTGCACAAAGGCACATGCCAGTGTAGACGCTCTCTTACTCAAATAATCTAACGCAAAAACTCTTGCATTAAAGAGTATTTGTGCAAAATCTTGCCAATATAGACATAGCCCTAAAGTGTTATCTGTTAACTCCCCATCCCTTCCCTGAGTGAGTGCAGAAGAATGTCTGAGGTGGACACAAGAGGTGGGAAAACTCTGAGGTAAACAGCAGGAGTAAACAACAGTGCACACAGCCCCCTGCAGGGAGCGCACACGGCCCCAAGAGGCCCAGAGACACAGAAGCTGCATGTGGCTGATTCTAAAAGGCGAGAGGGACAGAGACACAGTTGGTTGACCATCAAGTGGATCCTCCCAGAACACCCTCTGCTCGGATCGCCTGGTCAGCGGACCAGCTTAGGAGTCAACTTGGGAAGATCAAACAACATGAACTGCCTTCTGCTCGTCTTATCATCCTGCCTGGGACTGTAAGTGTGGTTGAGTGTATAAATGAGATTCCCCTCCCTTCCCAGTTTTAACTGAATAAACGAACCCTTTACACTCCTATGTGGTGATTCCCTCTCTTTAGTGTTTAAAGCAGTTGCAATCCACATCCCCTTGCAACAGTAATAAAGAAACTGTTTAAATAAACAAACAGATTGGGCTACTCTTGGACTTCAGATTTTTGTGTAAGTGACTGTGGACTATTGATTCAGTAAAAATCTGGCAATTCTATATTTGCTTATTTTTCCCAGACAACATGAAACAACAGCGTTATCCATTGCTTTAGCTCATATCTGGAGTGTTGTTTTTCAGTAATTTATTAACTTTTAAACATTCCTGGAAGAATTTAACTCTCTCATTCTCCTCTTCACAATTTGGAAGAGAAGATATTTTAAAAATAATAATTGCAAGGCTAAGCAGATGTTATTTATCTCTACTAAAGACAGTGTAGTGTACAAAGTATCGAACTTGTGTTAAGGCTCCAAAACTGACACCTCAAGATTTGGGATTGGAAATTTCTTGCTGGTGATTGTTTTAAATGTACAAATAAACTTTAACCATGGCTTTAATTAATATGTTGTATTTTTTCTTTATGTAAGAATTAGGAACACTGTTCTTGTCAGTTAATTTCTAAGTTGTTACTGGCAAAAAAAAACAAACAAACAAAAAAAAAAACCAGGAGTTTTCAAGTTTCTAAATAGACTCTAGAATGGAACCATGGTTGAAGTGGCCTCACCCTCCAACATCTGAAATGGAACCCTGATTATATAATTAATTATCTTTTTAATCTTCTTTATAGCTTTGAAACTAGATAGCTAATGTTTTGCATCTGCTGGAATTTGCAAAAATGAAGTGGGTCCTTTAATTTCCACAAGATTCCTTCTTCTATCAGCTGCAAGTGTCTTGTTAGTGCTCCAGCTCCCAACCACACACGGGTTCCATCACACCAGTCAAGTCTGTTGCAACAGGTTTTTGATGCTCTGCTGCATTCCCTCAATAGGGGCAGGTCTAACATCTCCTTTTACCTGGCTATTTACTGACCACTTTAAACAATATTAACTGTCAGGGTATCCCAGTGTGAATAACAACACTCACAGCATGTGGGTTATATACCTAAACATGCAGGACATCCATAATAATACTCTGCAGGGGACGTTAGCCCTCTTTACTCTTAGGTAATTTGGTCTACTCCCTCAAACTGAGCTGTCTACACGTGCATCCTTTTTCGTGTAGAAAAAGGAAAGGCATGATAAACATTGTGCTGATTTTACCATCTTAGACTTTAATTAGTTCAGACCATGTTCCTCCTTTGTGACCCAACCTCCCCACATCCGGATGATGGCACCAGTAAGCCTGCACAGCACATTTCCAAAACCTCATCCCCAATAAAAAACACTGTCAGCAGTTTCTATTTCTATTTTAAAGCCTAGGTTTCGTTGCTTTGGCTGTTTAAGAACATTCAAGAAAAGAAACTAACCTTGGAGGGAAAACCAAAGCAAAGGAACCTGATCTAAAATGGGATGGTAAACAATGCTTAGCCTTGCTGCTACAGACAGATATGCTGACGCTTCCAAAGAGATGAATAGCTGGAAGCGCAGATATTGAAAATCAAAGCTATTCCAACTAGAAATGATACAACAACCACATTTCTAGAGCGACATGACTGGTTGGAAGTTGCACTATTTTGCTGCTTCCAGCAAAACCTAGGCATAGCAGATAGGTGAAAAATTAAAAAAACAAAACAAACAAGAAAATCAACCTGTTTCTAAAACCAAGAAATTGGCCCCTGGTTCAGCTAATTCCAGTAATCAGCTAGGGTACTGCATACCCAAGAAGTAGCAATTAAAGAGATACAAATGTGAGAACTCTTTCAGATAAAGGACAATTACAAAAGTACTGGAACAATTAGCATTTTGAAGGTACTCGCCCTCCAGGGACAGCAGTCTTCTCACTCGACTTACAGTTTTTACAACAGGAGGAGCTACAAGCAAGATTAAAACAGGTTGGAACTGCAACTGGCAAATTACTATATCTGAAAATGATGCATCTAAAGTCAAGTCAGTCACCATTGGACTAAGCGTGAAACTGTTCAGTTTAGACCTGTCAAAGTACCTTGGATTCTTAATTAAACAAGCAGTTTCATGGTTCAGGACATTTTGAGAGTTGAGAAGGCAAGTTGGGAAGTGATTTTACAGTTGTTCCCCTAGAAAGAATGTTAATTATATAAACATGGAATTGGTTCTTTGCCTGTCTCTAGCACTGCCACTGTAGGATATTGTCAGTTCAAAGACTATGGCTGGGCCACATGCCCTCTTTGCACAACCAGGTTATATGTTTTAATTCAATAGGATAGTAGTAGGCTATCCCAGGAGCTAAATATTATTCCCTCCAGCTGACTACAGAGAATGGCCAGCAGGAGAACATAGGAGGGTTATTTCAGGATTCAGGGGAAAGACATTTTTGAATGTCCAACATGTGAACTGGTTGAAAGGTACTGACCACATTTTTATGAGAGAAAATATGGACATGGAACTATAATCTTTAGGAAAGGTGTTAGGAATAGATGACATCAGCTGAGGACACAGTTCTGCCCAAAGCCATGCAAAATCCCTACCAGGGAGTTCCTGGATGCTTCCGAGGCTAGATCCAGACCCAACATATAAGTGGGATTTTGTGAACAGGAGGATATCGTAGGTGGAAGACAGCCAATTGCGGAAATTATTTTAAGTTAATGAAAATCACCATGTGGCTCTTTCATGCCTGTTCTAAGCAAGCCAAGGCCGAACTCAAGCTTTGTAACTACAGGAGCAGGGCAGGGGGTGAAATATAGGTATTGAAGAAACTGTGATCTCTTCTTAGGTGAGGGCAGGTGCTCCATGTCTTCTGTTACCTTCTGGGTGTTAGAGAAAAGAAACTGCCCCTCCCAGTAAAAAAGTTTGGCCAGGCCGCTCTTGCTATAGTGGGCTGCAGTACTCCTTGAGAGAAACCGGCCGCACCCTTCCTGCATACCATTGCCTTTAGAAAAAGGGAAGGTGTGAAAAGGGGAAAATAGCCTCAGACTCTCCCACCCGTCACCTTGGCGTGAGAACTGCGGGGCTTACCTAGTCGCATGAAACCTGCACAGTTTCAGCCCAACCCCTGGGACACAGACCCCCCACTTGGTGACCATTGGGCCATATATGGTAATATGCAAGCGCGAGAAAGCAATGTGCAGATTTGGGGATAAATACCCATCGCACAGTTCGCTCGAGGAGGTCTTCGCAACACACGTACCACCGTGCGTGTGCCTTCTTGTATACTTCAAAGGGCTACCGGCCTGATCAACCGACCACTCCCCCGACTCTCGGGCGTAACCAAGGCCTTCGCAACTGAACCGATATCTGTGAAATGTTCCGTGTGCTGTGTAAGTTGGTATGTATGATTTGATTTTTTCTTGTTGTATAAGCTTAGTGTTGTAGTTGTTTTGGGTAGTACATAGAGTTTGTAGTTATCACTGTTATTTAATTAGTGTAGCTGGATATTTTAAGATTAGATACTATTCCCCTTGCCATTCCCATCCTTATATCTCTGACACGTTTAACTAGAAATCATAGAATAAATATAATAAATACTGTAAATTCATTATTAACACAGTCTATTAAAAATCTTAGAATAAATACTATAAATTCACCACTGTCATAAATAAATATTTTTTATTTGATAAAACTGTCCACCTGGTTCTGTCCTTCCCCCTTGGGTATTCATCATCGGACCTGTGATTCTTGTGACACTGGGCTTCTCAAATCCCCATTTATGGAGAACAGGAACTCCGGTCATCTGAAGAAGTGGGCTGTGCCCATGAAAGCTCTTGATATCATTTACATGTTTTGTTAGTTTATAAAGCACTATCAGACCATTTGTGGTTTTTTGGGGGTATATGCTGTGTGCCCACTACACCAAAGCACACACGTGCATGAGAATGCTTTTTATGGGGTGGAAAGTTATTAGCACAACGCTTCAGAGCTGTGGCACGGGATGGTTGTTAGTATAGGATTCCTTTTTAAAAGTACTGTTTTGCATAAGAATACAATGATGCCTATATTAGGGTGTGTCTAGACTACAGGGGTTTTTTAAAAAAGTGCCCTTTTTTCAAAAAAACTTCACCTGCGTCTAGACTGCTGCTGCGTTCTTTCAAAATTAAATCGAAAGAACGTGGCAGTTTTTTCGACCACAGTAAACCTCATTTTATGAGGAATACGCCTTTTTTCAAAAGAGCTCTTTAGAAAAAAGTCGTTCTTCAACGCAAACAGTGCTTTTTCAAAAGAGAGCATCCAGGCTGCTCTCTTTTTCGAAAAAAGTGGTTGCTGTCTAGATGCTCTCTTTCGAAAGAGGCTTGTAGTCTAGACATACCCTTAGTGTCTAAGGGCAAAGCAAGGAACAGATAAAAGTAACGTTGGCAGATGCCAACGCTCCTAGGCACTATATTCCATCTTTTCCAAATGCTAAAAATGTAATTCTAGCAAGAGATCAAAGAAAGGACTCTCTGAAAGAGTAGGTCCTATATAGAGATACCATATGATTAGGCAGCTAAGTAGCAGTAGCTAAATTTTACTACAGAATACACACACATTTTCTCTCACAGTATATGCATGGCATAAAAACTATTCTAAATTGCAGAGAAGATATGGCTGCAGAGTTGGTTCCTTTGTGCTAGTACCTTTAGAGCAGTGTAGGTTTGAATTTGACCTTGCTTTCAGCTTTTTTTTTTCCTGAACTGCCCTCACACTATTAAAGGCCATTCCATTGTCTGTGCTGAACACTAGGCCTAGGAGGGAGAGAGGAACTTCTCAACATGTTTAATTCCTGGATATTTTACCCCAGGAAGCCGATCTTGGGTAGGTTTCACACAAATTCTCAAGCACCAATAAAGCAAACTGGAGCCCATGAAAGACCAGATGCACTTGCTCTTCAACAATTCACACAATAAGCTTAGTATTTTTATCAGAGAAGGTGGTGTAAAGGGCAAAGGGCTTCCCTTAATGAATGATCACCGTTCAAGCTCTACCACCCTGTCTTCTGCACCTTTGCTTGTGAGTAAATGCTAGTTTTCTATGGAACATCCACCAGTTCATATTCAGATTCTGTTGCTTTCACAAGGGTTGCATAGTCATTGGTTTTCATTGGACTTATTGTCTCATATTCATTCTCTTTCACAGGCTGTGATGTATAGTTGTTTTCGGCTCTAGTTATGGCTTCCTCGTAAGTGCACTTGTCATTGACTTCTGAACAAGGCTTTCTTCTTGTGAGGTTCTTGGAGTTATGACTGAAACAAAAATCTAATATTAATAAGAAGAAAGAGCCAGGGGAGAATTCAACATCACCTAGCTTCAAGATCCTGGGCCAGATTTTAGTCTGCATTACACGAGCATAAATCTGGAGTCATTCCGCTAGCTTCAGTAGAGTGACATTGGATTTACAGCACATGGCAAAGATCAGACTTTGGTCCAAAGGACTGTGGGACATTAGCTGTGGAATAACAAGGCTCCAGACACTAAACAGAGACATTATGGGAGGCTGAAAAAGTTGTATTAAAAGGAAAAGCAAGAATGATAAGAGAAACAGACACAATCAATCTGCTACCATTAGGACCAAATTCGCTGCTGACATTACAACACTGACCTCAATGGGGCTATGCCAGCTGGGGATTTGGCCCTTGGAAAATAAAAGGCTGGACTAAAGAGTGGACACATTGGAACCCATGGACCAAATGCATCTGATAAATTTCTCCGAAGTGGCCTGTGTTTGGCCACATCTTTACAATGAAGGTGCAACCAGTGAAGAGAAGTCCCAGCAGGCAGTATTTTAACACACTGCTGTATAAACCTCACCTTGACAAATTTCATTGGCAAAATATTGCACTCCAACATACACTCTTATAATCACTTGTACTGGCATCTGGATATGTGGCTCCCATGTTAGATGTTATTTTATTGTCAGGACCTTTATATTTGCAGCTTGTCTTGTGTCTGTGTGTTAGTGAATGGAAGAGTTGGACACAGGGATTCAAATTTAGGATTAGGATGGTCCAGAAAGAAACACCAGAGAGGTTCATCAAAGGACTGATTTGGATGAACTTCAGGAAATAGTTTTCAACTGCGATATTCATTCAACTGGGAGAGCTGGACATTTCTGTTCATTAGATGCTAGAGGACAATCATGCACCGGTGTCTTTGGTGAAGGAACAGAGGCTCAAATAGGTCTTTTGAAACTCTAATTTTGGTGATTATAAGATATTCACAAACAACATTTGTATCGCTATGCCTGTGAATATCTAAACCCTCACACTGTCAGTGAAACACACCATTAAGATAGTCAAGCCCCTCCTTCCTATAGCCAAATAGGATATTCATATTTTACTTGGCAAATAGATTTTCTGCCACAGAAATCAATATTACAACCCCAGACATTCTTTCAGCATGATGGATGAAGAATCTTACTCACTGTGTTATTTCATTTGAATTATCTGGAGAAAAAAAAAGACAGAAATGTGAATTTTTGGTAACTTTATTCTTCCTAATAGAAACCCACTTCGTCAGATGGTCTTTGCCCACAAAAGCTTATGTCCAAATAAATCTGTTAATCTTTCAGGTGCCACAGGACTCTTCCTTGTTTTTGCAGGTGCAGACTAACATGGCTACTCCTCTGATACTAATGGAAACCAGTTCTTTTTATTTTTTAAATCTAATCATTGGAAAATGTCGTTGTTCCCATTTACCCCCGATAAAGCAAGACACAGAGTGGTTAAGAGACTTGCCAAAAGTGGCGAGGAGTCCTGTGGCACCTTATAGACTAACTGAAGTGTAGGAGCATAAGCTTTTGTGGGCAAAGACCCACTTTGTCAGATCTGATGAAGTGGGTCTTTGCCCAAGAAAGCTTATGCTCCTACACTTCAGTTAGGCTATAAGGTGCCACAGGACTCCTTGCTGCTTTTGCAGATTCAGACTAACATGGCTACCCCTCTGATACTTGCCAAAAGTGGGATTAGAAACAGCCTTGTGTTCAGCCCATTACATCTCACTATCCCCCCATGGGTGACAGTTCTATGTAAGAACGGCCATGCACGATGAGCCCAATGGTCTGTTCCAGCTTGTATCCTGTCTTCCAATAATGACCAATGCCAGGTGCTTCAGAGGACAGAAAAAGCAATCATCCAGTGAGCTAATTTTTTTTTTTTTTTTTAAGTTCTGTGATAGTGATATTTTCAAAAAAGCATCTGTCACTGAAGTGCCCTCTGCTGCAACGAACACTGGAAATCTCTTCCTATAAGGACTAGATGTTTTAGGCCTGCTGGCTAGTGAACAGACATTAAAGTTGACTTGCTAAAACTAAACATTTAAATTTCAAAATTAGTGTCAAGTTTACAAAGTGATTCAGTTACAATTAGGTGTGAACATAATGAAATCTAAACTAGTAATATGCAGATACTTTGTGTTTTTTTTTTTTGGGCAAGAATTTCATTTATTCATTTTTCCTTTAAACGGAAATGTGAATGCTAATTGGGAACAGTGGCGACTGCTAAGGAAGGACACAAGGGCAGCACCAGCCATGTGACTGCCACCCTCATGTGACTCCTTCCTCTACCACCCTTAGCCTGGGGAAAGGCTCTCCTCGTCCCACCCCCACCCTGCATTGCTCCATCCCGACTCCATCTCTTCTCCCAAGCTCCCTCTCCCAAGTGATATAACCCAGTGGATTTTTGGGGGGGGGCTGCCAGCAGCAGGGGTTGCCCCTCCACACTCACCAGCATGGGGGGGGGGGAGAAGAGAGGGAGCAGAGTGACCCAGCCTAAACCCACTCTGCTGCCCCAACTCCCAATCACATCACTCCACTTCCTGCTGCCAGTGAGTGTAGGGGGCATTCCCACTCCTTCCCGTGAGACCCCTCCTCTGGGTGATGCAGCTGGGAGCCAAGGGAGTCAAGCAAGCTGGGGCTGAGTCACTCCACTTCCCACTGCCATTGGTGAGTGGGGGGGGGACAGCGGGGGCAGGACTGACCCCTACTGCTGGCACCAGACCCTTTGCTGGCTGCTCTGGGCCCTGAAGGGTCTAAAGGCATGGGGCCTGAGGTGGCTCGCAATGGATGTGACAGCACTGCTGGCTGCTAGCCCCTTGCCCCTCCTCCCCACATTGGATGGGGGACATGACCTTTTGTGCCCCTGCTCTCCCCCCCCCCCCCCCCCGATTGGGAATGATTTAAGATGCCCAATAAACCACAATTGCACCATTAAGAAAAAATGCAGACTGGTTAATAAAAAAGGGAGGGGAGAGCAGATAGTAATGAATAAAGATAAGCAGCTAATTGATTAAGGAAGCAAAAGAAATCTATGAGTAGTAGAGCTTAAAAAAAAAAAGAAAAAAAAGGATTTTTAAAAAATACACCAGGAACAGAAAAGAATCCAGAAAATAGTATTGGTTCATTATTAGATAGAAATGGTATAGTAGTGTTGTCAATAATACGGGGGAGGGAGTAGTGTCCAAGAATAACTAAATATCATAAAAAACCTATTTATGCACAGTCTCAGAGAGGTAACCAAGGGTATGTCTACACTACCCCCCTAGTTCGAACTAGGGGGGTAATGTATGCATACCGAACTTGCTAATGAAGCCCGGGATTTGAATTTCCCGGGCTTCATTAGCATAAAGCCGGCGCCGCCATTTTTAAAAGCCGGCTAGTGCGACCCCCGTGCCGCGCGGCTACACGCGGCCCGGACTAGATAGTTTGGATTAGGAAGCCTAATCCAAACTATCTGTACACCTCGTACACCTATACACCTCGGATTAGGAAGCCTAATCCGAACTATCTAGTCCGTGCCGCGTGTGGCCGCGCGGCACGGGGTTCGCACTAGCTGGCTTTTAAAAATGGCGGTGCCGGCTTTATGCTAATGAAGCCCGGGAAATTCAAATCCCGGGCTTCATTAGCAAGTTCGGTATGCATACATTACCCCCGTAGTTCGAACTAGGGGGGTAGTGTAGACATACCCCATGTTACTCTGTGTCTGCAAAAACAACAAGGAGTCTTGTAGCACTTTAGAGATTAACAGATTTATTAGGGTATATCTCCCACCTCTATAACTTCCACTCCAATTCATCTCATGAATCGGGTTTTACCCACAAAAGCTTATGCCATAATAAATCTGTTAGGGTATGTCTACATTTCATTCCTCTTCTGAGAGAGGAATGCAAATGCAGACACCCGAAATTGCAAATGAACCGGGGATTTAAATAGTCTGCGCTTTATTTGCATAATCGCGTTATGGCGCTATTTCAAAATAGCACTATTTTGAGAGAAAGAATGGGTTTATTTTGAGATAAAACCCTTCCCTCGAAATAAAGGGAAGGGTTTTATCTCAAAATAACCCAATTTTTTGTCTTGGAATAGCGCTATTTTGAAATAGCGCCATAACGTGATTATGCAAATAAAGCACAGGATATTTAAATCCCCGCTTCATTTGCAATTTCGGGTGTCTGTATTTGCATTCCTCTCTTGGAAGAGGAATGAAATGTAGACATACCCTCAGTCTAAGGGCGTGCCTATGCTAGGAAATTTCAATTTAACTCCCAAAATAATAATTTTGAACTAGAGTGTTCACACTACAGAAAAGCCTTGAAATTAGTTTGAGGCAGGCTCTGTTAATGTGCACATGCTACCTCAACTTAAAGCCCCAGGATGCACTGGGCAGTAATTAGTTTGAATGACTCTGGAAAGCAGTTATTTTGAAACAGTAGCACTAGAGCATCCACACTACCACTATTTTGAAATTAGCATTATTCGTCATGGAAAGCAGAAGTTATTTCGAAATAACCAGCCCTAATGTAGACCAGGGCTAAGGTACCACAGGACTCCTCGCAATTTATGCTAAACAATCTGTTCCACCTTGTATTTAGTTGTGACACTGAGTTAATTTCCCATACTGAAAATTTTTGCACCAGAGTATCACATTTAAATACTACGTAGCATGGAACAGATTATGTTGAGTAGTTAACACATATTCCAAGGGACCAGATCTGTGCAACTCAAAAGCTTGTCTCTCTCATTAACAGAAGTTGATCCATTAAAAAATGTTACCTCACCAGCTTGTCCTGAGAATTGTTGGCATTTGATTAGCACAGCTTCAGGGGTTAGGTGTTTTTCCTCTTCTCTCTAGCATGAGACACAAGCTTTCTTGCTGCTTTATAACTTTCTCCCCACTTTATTTTCACTCTTTCTGTATCAGGCGAAGAGGCTTTTGGGGTTTTTTTTTTTTTTGGGCTGTTCTGTTTCACTTTGTGTCTTCTCTAATATACATGTTCTATTCTTTATTTCAAAAGATATAGTATTATTTTAAATAACCTAAACGCACAATTAGTATTTTCTAAAAACTAATATTTAATACATTATTTAAAAATGCATATTTTTTTCTGAGAAGACCTCTGCCTAGTTAAGGGAATTGTATTTTTTTGTCAGCTTTCAAATTATGACATAATCCACTTTCTCATAATCCATATTATTTTGTAAATTATCTAAAGATACCTGTAAAAGTATTCTTCTATAAAAGTGTGTGACTACCTACTTTATTCTAACTTTAATAAGTAAAACACACACAAACAGCCCTACAGTTCCCCATGGGCAAAAAAAATCAAAATGTCTGTTTTAGGTGCAGCTAGCCATGTGCAATTATGAGACTAGGGTATAGAACATAACTAGGGTAGAGAATATAACCCCCAAACAGGGCATGGAACCTTGTCAGAATTCTATGGTGACAATTGCTATAGGTTTTGTGATGGTCCTCCCCATGCTTTATAAACATTGGTTTACGAATATAAATATGCATAACTAGGAGATGCCTTGGACAAAATACCGCATGTAGCCAATCAGTTTTAATGTTACAGTCTGCTGAAGCTGTATATCTCATTTTGGTGCATGTATAATTTTTGTATTTAAAGTTAGAAATATGTAGTATTAGACTGTTCGTGGTTTTAAACATGCTAATGGCAGACATTACGGGTGCTCCAGAAGCCTTAATGAGTGGGTGAACAACTTAATGACTTGTAAACAGCCTTGTTTGTTCTGTAAATCCATACATGACCATAGTAAGACATGTGACCATAGCACCTGGTACTGGGATTCTATTTTGAGCCAGGTAGTTTTCCTTGGAAGGGGAAATGTAGAACAAAAGATTCCTACCCTGTGGAGAAGGCTGTTTAAATAATTGGACCCTATCAGGTGTTTATCTTTGGCTGGCTTGGAAACAAAGAGAACGGGAGACCCAAGTCAGAGTAAAAGATCAAATTTGACGACTTACCTGAAATAAGAACAGCTCTTTAGGGTAAGAATCTACCTGCAGTATTTTTTTTAATGAATTAGAACTAGCTATGTGTTTTCTTTTCATTTTAACATAGTAACTTCCTTTGATCTGTCTATTTTCATTTGCAGCGACTTAAATTCTATTGTTTGTATTTAATAAAAACAATTTTGTTTACTATCAGGCCCAGTGTAAATAATTATTATACCCTAGAACTACGTCCTCCCAGAGTTGAAGTCATTCAGTGCCTGCATTGCTCTTCAGGGAGGTGGTAACCCCAAATCTGTGCCTTGTATGGGGAAGACCAAAGGATTTGTCCCAAAAGGACAGAGTGGTATAGAGCCACAGAGAACAAGAAGGTGGGTGTCAGTGGCATAATCAAGAACAATCCCAAGGGGTCTTCTGTGACTGCACCCCATGACTGAGTTCTTAACAATATACATCTGACTTGTCCCAACACTGGGGTAATAGTTGGTCTGGATCTTATTGTACATTCAGGGGACAGTACTGGGCCAGATCTGAATTTCATATCTGTTCAGATATGGACTTCAGACCTTTCTCTAGGCTGATGTAATTCATTGCCTGTACATCCCACTTATTTCATGGTTGTGTGGTTACTGCTTTGCACCAGCAATGCTAGTGCAACATAGCTGCCTGGAATACCACAGCACAGAAGGCTTTCTTTGGCAGATGCTGAGTCATCTCTCTGACCTTTCATATTTGCTTACCTCCAATGGACGGAGTTGTGAAGAATCTGCTAAGCAGCAAACTACCCATTCCTATCAACCACCTACCCACCACACTTTGTCCTCCATGCCAGATAGCAGGAGGGGGCAGTAATTCTATTGAAAGAACTGACCAAGGAAGTTATCTGGCCTCTCTGAGGAAGCAGAAGTGGCACGATCAATAGCAGCAGGGAAGCCTGAGGCTGATGGAAATGGCCAGGGACTATGTACAGAGCAGGCTGCATGGAAAACAGGAAGCCACGTGTGGACTAGGAGGAGACTTGAAGCAGGAATTAATTCAAGGAAGTTCTATGGCTTGTGTTCTGCAGGAGGGTCAAGACTATTGATCACAAATAGTCCCTTCAGTCACCTACTCTTTCTACAGTCAATAGAGACTGTGCCAAGATGGCAACTGGAAGCAACTTTTACAGAATGAAACCATGTTGACTTTCTGGCAAACATCTCTGGGGCACAAAGCTACAAGAAGTGCAATTGAACTACTGGAAAGGAAAGACAAAGAACTACAGGTTTACTGCTCACAGAAAATGAGATTAGCACAGGGGATTGTGATTACTCTGTCAGTTCCTGTTCTTGATACAATGTGCCTATCTCTAAGCATTCAATTGCAAGAAGCAACCTCAACTAACTCATTTTCTTTCAGTGTGCTATAGCAGTGTTTTTATTTGTCCTCCCACCCCCAAATCCTCAGTAGTTCACCATAACTTCCCCAGTACAACATACTCACCCTTCTTGATCTTTCTCCTGCACAAGATGACAGCAATGACAACTAACACCACAGCCATGCAGAGCACACCAATCAGGATGATGACATAGAGGGGCAGGCTGGCCCCTTGGTACTCTGGATCAAAACAGCACAAAGTGAGGATTCAAACAAGGAAGCAATCCCCAGCACACTGAGTCTTCCCAAACCATGGGAGTTATTGAGATAGGAATTTTGCTTCTGATGACTTCATGTCACACCACACAGAGCTAAAGAAATGCATGACTCCTCTAGGCTTGTCCTTCCAAGTGTTAGAATGGCTGCCATCCCAGGGAGCCTGTAACCAAGTAGGCCAACAGCATGAGGTCATGGCTCACTGGAGAGCAGAGGAAAGGGGAGTAGCAGTTAGAACCACATAGGGCAGCAGAAGTCAACTCTAGCAAACCCTGTCGGCCTGAGGACTAAATTCTAAAAATGGAAGCAAGTGGACATGTCACATCCAGCCCACCCTCTCACTATTCACACAACACAGCAATGAAAATGCCCCTTCACTTCCCCTCCCTAAGTGCTTTTAATTCAACACTGAGCAGGCCTCACCTCCTTCTGAGACTATGGGGTACGCCCCAGACCCAGAGCAGGGTACCATAGTTACTGGTTTTGTGAGGTCTATTGAGAAAAGTGACAAATGTGGCAGACTCTTCCACCCCTTCAATTGCTAATTTACGAATTGGATAAATACAAAAACTGCAGGGCGAAGTCGTAAACCTCCTAACTCCTACAGAGCACTTTTCACCAGTAGCTCTCAAAGGGTATTACAAAGGGAATGCCATTGATCTCCAGGGGTAAACTGAGGCACAGAAAGGGGACTTGTCCAAGGTCAGCAAGCTGGCAAGTGCAGAGCTGGAGGATGGAAAACATTGTTCTGACCCTAGCCAATGATCAGCTGTGCCTTATACTGTGAGAGCTGAGAATAAGAGCTCTTGTTCTTTTACCCTAGCAAATGTCACTACAGATGTTGTTCACATTCATTCAGTCTAAAAGTCTATACTTTTATTGAACCCTATGAGCCATTTGCCTCACTATCATTCTGCAGTTAGGAGCATCTCAGAGAGCAAGCACTAGTTTGGGGCACTTACCCATCACAGTCAGTTGCACTGAATCACTCTGCTCCATGACTTGGGAGGTTGCTCTGTTTTCTGCCTTGCAGTAATATTTCCCCGTGTCAGACATCTGCAGAGAATCAAACATGAGTACGGCGTGATTGCTCACGTGCACCGCCTTTCCTCCAGGCTCTCCCTTGAACCAGCGGTAGATGATAGGTGGGGACCCATTGGCAGAACAAGTCAGGCTGGCGCTAGCCCCTTTCGGTACGGTGAAGCCCAGATTGCCCGGTTTGATGATGGGTTTAGTCACTGCAACTGAAGGAAAAGGAAAGGGATTTGGGTCAGTAGTTAAGAACTTCACAGCATTCATCACCACACAATTTTGACAAGGTTCAATGCCCCTGTTTATGGCTTATGTTTCATGCCTATACATTTTTGGAGCAGTCATGCCTGGTCTGATGATGAGTTTAGTCACTGAAACGGAAAGGCAAAAGGAAAGGGATTTGACGCTCACTTGTCCCAAAGTTGCAGAGAATTTGATCTGAGAATTTGATTGTTATAAAGAAAGGTGCAGGATTCACACTTCCCTGAATCCCATGCCTGTGCAGGCTTCTCCAGAATGAATTCATTCATTACCTGCTCTCATAACCCCCTTGCATGCAGTTTCTGAACTCCATTCATGGTTTCCTCCTGACTGCTTTGCACCAGCTACATACAAGGAATATGCACACACAGCGGGTTTCCCTTGTTAGAGGCTGAGCATCTTTCTACCCCTTCATAAGCCTTCCACACTGAGGCATATGGTTCTGAGGTGCGCTAGGGACGTTCTGAAGTGGGAGGGTGTAGCTGGGGCAGTTCTGTACTCCAACTCTTCTAACACTGCTGCAAGGTGCACAGAGATGTTCAGCAACGGGCAGCCTTTAGGACTGCCTTGAAATAGCACTAGTGGCCAAGCGAGGTACAAACCACAACCCCACATCAATGTTGCAGGCTCCTATCCCCTTCCTTCAGGGTTGGATAGTGCCAGTGTAGGGAGAAAGAGCCACGGTGCTTGAGAATCTATGGGAAATGCCGGCTTCAACCATGTGGCTGTGGAGAGTCAGTGTGACATGGAAGCCCCTCTGCACAGTCCCATCCCCCCACCAGGAGTCTTTATGAGTGAGAAATGCCAAGTTAGTAAAATGTGCATTACTGGCTTTACCTTTAATGACACGGACCATCATGGTTCTCTCCTTTGTTAGCAGGCTCTTGTTCGGGGCTTTCCAGGTGACTTTGCAAGTGTAGTGTCCACTGTCTGTGACTTCAAGCATCTCAATTTCAAGAGAGACATCCCCTGGGGTGCTATTTGGGACGCTGACCCTATCTCTATACTGTGACAACAGGATGTGATCCCCAGAGCTATCCCTTCGGAAAACAGTGGCAGGGCTTTGATCTCGCTCCAGGGTCCAAATGACTGTTTGCTGCACAATGTCCTGGGAAGGCGTGTAGACGCATGGCAAGGTGATAGAACTCTTCCATGTGCCTTTAATGTCATAGGTGCCAGACAGTTCCAGGATAGCTGGAGGGAGAGAACAGGAGAAGAGGGGTAGGAATAAAAACAGAGGAGAGAATGTCAGCACGATCTAGAGAGTGTTAGAGGCACATGCAAATGGAGTCCACTGAGCTGCAAACACAGGCCATTATTCTTGACAAACACTACTGTTCCATTGCCTTTCCCACTAGGAGTGACAAAGGAATTTGCTTAGACAGTGGGAGACCTGACCACAGTTCCCTGCTCCACCATGGACTTCTTGTGAACTTAGAATCATAGGTTACTAGAACTGGAAGGGACCTCAAGGGATCGAGTCTAGTCCCCTGCCCTCACTACAGGACCAAGCACATCTAGATCATCCCTGATAGATGTCTGTCTAACTTGCTCTTAAATATCTCCAGTGATGGAGATTCCAAAACCTCCCTAGGCAATTTATTCCAATATTTAACCATCCTGTCAATCAGGAAGTTTTTCCTAATGTGCAACCTAAACCTACCTTGCTGAAGTTTAAGCCCATTGCATTTTGTCCTATCCTCAGAGACCAAGGAGAACAATTCCCCTCCCCCCCGCCCACCTGCAACACCCTTTTAGATACCTGAAAATCACTATCATGTCCCCCTTCTCTTTTCCAACTAAACAAGCCCAATTCTTTTAGTCTTCCTTCATAGGTCATGTTCTTTAGACCTTTAATCATTCTTGTTGCTCTTCTCTGGACCTTCTCCAATTTCTCCACATCTTTCTTGAAATGTGGTGCCCAGAATTGGACACAATACTCCAACTGAGGCCTAACTAGCATTCACTATATTAGGCAAACCCTCACCATCAATCTTCTTGGCAAAAACAAGCTAGAAATTGTTAAGCACCTCTGCCATTTCCAAGTTTCCTGTTATTAATAGACTCATAGATTTTAAGGTCAGAAGGGACCATTATGATCATCTAGTCTGACCCCCTGCACAGTGCAGGCCACAGAATCTCACCCACCCCTCCCAGAATACTGCTTTCACTTATATCTCAGATATTGAAGACTTCAAATACTTTGAAGACCCCAAGATGCAGAGAATCCTCTAGCTGTGATCTGTACCCCATGCTACAGAGGAAGGCGAAAAACCTCCAGGGCCTTTGCCAATCTACCCTGGAGGAAAATTCCTTCCCGACCCCAAATATGGCGATCAGCTAAACCCTGAGCATGTGGGCAAGACTCATCAGCCAGACACCCAGTAAATTCTCTATAGTAACTCCTATCATCCCTCCATTGACCTATTCCCACTGATAATGAATGGACAATTAGTTACCAAGTTCATGTTATCTCATCAAACCATCCCCTTCATAAACCCATCTGGTTTAATCTTGAAACCAGATAGATCTTTTGCCCCCACTACTCCCCTTGGAAGGCCGTTCCAGAACCTCACTCCTCTAATGGTTAGAAACCTTCGTCTAATCTCAAGTCTAAGCTTCCTACCAGCCAGCTTATATCCATTTGTTCTTGTGTCCACATTGGTATTAAGCTTAAATAATTCCTCTCCCTCCCTGGTATTTATCCCTCTAATATATTTAAAAAGTGCAATCATATCCCCCCTCAGCCTTCTTTTGGTTAAGGTAAACAAGCTAAGCTCCTTGGGTATGTCTACACTACCCCCCTAGTTCGAACTAGAGGGGGTAATGTAGTCATACGGAGTTGCAAATGAAGCCCGGGATTTGAATTTCCCAGGCTTCATTTGCATGAAGCCGGCCAGCGCCATTTTTAAATGCCAGCTAGTTTGGACTCCGTGCCGCGCGGCTACACGCGGCACAGACTAGCTACTTCGGATTAGGCTTCCTAATCCAAACTAGCTGTACACCTTGTTCCCTCTTAATCTTGCTTCCCCTGGAACCTTACCTACCACCTCTCTGAGCTTTGGTTCAGGGAGCCCTTGCATACTCTGGGGAAGCAGTATATTAGGAGATGAGGCGGTAAGTAGGTCCACAAGAGAATGCCCAACTCTTATGGAACGGTCTAGAAACTGAAAAGTTTTGAAAATATATACCATTCTAGAAGGGCATCTAGCCCATCTCTCTGACCAATGTTCTCTAAAATACACACTCCAGGTTTTTGACTGGTCTAATTTTAACTCTTTCTAGCAATGGGAACCTCATAATTTCCCTTGGGAAGATACACAGTTAAACTATTCTCAGTGGTAGGAAACATTTCCTGGTAAGAAATGTTTCAGCCTCAGTTTTCTTTTGCTTTGTTAATCCTATTACAGCCAGCTGTCTCACCTTTGGATACAGTAATCACTACGAAATGCAGCAACTTCTGGACCAAAACATGGCAGCTGTTTAACAGCACTAAGCAACAATACATAGTGGATTAGGTCAGGAGGAAAGGAGAAGGCTGTATTCAGATGAAAGCAAACACTGCTGCTATAACAAAACTAGTGTATATATTATGGGATATTACATCAGTTACACTGTAAGGAAGCAAATGACTTGTGTTTTAAGAAAATAGAGCAATAGGCTTTATGTACATCAACCTCTGAGCATCTCCTATTCCTGCAATCACTTTCTGCTATGTGCGGCATTTGAAGGAAGGGGTTGGGGAGGAAACTTTACAAGTCACATGAAATTATGATAAGGCCTGAGAGGCAATAACAATAAATTTCAAGCACCTTGAACTTTGGGACAGTCTAAATCTGCATCTAGTCTTCTTGGTTCATAGCCATCTTTATAAAACAATTCCCAACCAGAGCACTCAGGCAGAACTTTGGACAATGTTGCATTTGGAGCCACACTTCTTATCTCATGTATAAGTTCTGTGAATCTAGGCTCACTCTTCCAATTTATCAGCTGGCTGTCCAGATTTCAGCTTCATAAGTTGTCTGGGAACTGCTGCATCTCATTAGTAACATGTTACCATGTTTTCCTCAGAATCCAGCTCTATTCTCCCACAACCCCAGCTCTTTTTTCCAAAATCCTCCTGTTTCTTTTAACTCAGTTTAAAACAGAACTCCAAATAAGTGTATGAACTTCAATTGCATCTCAACTTCTACTTTTGCATCACTTTTCCTAAAACAGGGGTTTAACTCTGGGGTTCCACACACATTTTTCAAAGTATATTTCAACATTTTCCCTTTATCCTGTTTGCTGTTTCTTAGTTCTTTGTAATTCAGTGAAGATTTACTGATGAAGTACAAGCACGTTTCATTTGAAACTGTAGCAAGATGTAAGACAAGCCGAGATTCTGATCTCAAATACACAAGTGTAAATAGAATATCTAAACTTTAAAGTCTAAAGTATGAAAATCCAGAATCTGTCTGGTGGAGAGTTGGGTATAAAACTATGGCTTGCACTATTATTATTAGGACACCTAGTTGTTAAGTTAAAAAAGAATGAATATGTTCCAATCACAAAATGCATTTTGAAGACACTAATATTCCAGAGAACACTCTCCCAGTAACCTAAATAACCTTATTTTCTTCCAACACTGAATATAGTAAATCTGACAAATTGCTCAATACTGCACTGCTTGTTACATTCCCCTTGTATGTGATGCAAAATGACTGAACTGAAAATATACAAGCTGCCTTTTTATCTAGGGATAATATGCTGCTACTTTCTACATGGTTTGAATTTGAAGTGATTCAAAGCCATGCTGGTATAACAGAAAAGATACTTGTTTCCTCAGCATTTTAAAATTAATTCTTTTATCAAATTCATCCCTACATGTACTTAGATTAACTTTCTCTGCAATATGGAAAATGTTTTCATTTACTCACCATTGCAGAAGGTGAAGGAACTCACAAACACCACTAACCACATTAACTTTTTCATTCTTCACAGAACTGCGACTGCTTCTCTTACCCTGCACCTCTCCCCTACCATCGGAAGCCAAGTCAGCCATGCTTAATTTCATAATCTCATCCACTGGTAAACAGCAGCAACTCTGTAGCTCTCTTTTCCTTCCTTTTTTTCACAAAAACCACAAGTATGTTTTACTAGTGTGGCTGAAGATGTTGGAGTTCTACAAATAGGATGGATCCTAAGGAAGGCTGGAGTTAAGAAAAAAAGCCCATTTTTTTTCTTTTCCATTCCATATTGCTCTTATTTTGAGTTTACCTTGTGTGATGGATGGGAGAAGTGCTTTCTTTCTCTAAACATCCCACCATTCAAGCTATGTCTACATTACAGGGTTTTTGCGCAAAAACCCGTGGAGCATCCACACCTCAAGCACATTTTTGCACAAGAAAATTTACAGTAGAGCAGCAGAACAGAGGGCATTTTCTGGTGTAGGTATATCTCTTTCTACAAGAAATAAATCCTTTTTGCGCAAGACTTCTTGTGCAAAAAGGTGCGAGTGGACACTCAACAGGGGTTTCTTGTGCAAAAAGAGCCTGTCGGAAAAAGCCCAGGTAGTCTGATGGCCATTCTGTGAATGGCTATCAGAACTTTCTTGTGCAAGAGTGTCCATGCAGGGTGGACGCTCTCTTGTGCAAAAGCGCATCACTTTTGTGATGTGCTTTTGAGGTGTGGACACGCTTTTGCAGAAGAAGTTTTTGTGGAATATCTCTTCCACAAAAAACTTCTTGCGCAAAAACCCTGCAGTGTAGACAAAGCCTCATTGACTAAAGGGTTAAACCCAGGTAGCTAGGATGTGTTGGCAGGGAGCCAGTAGAACCAATGGGAAGAAAGTGTTACTATTTGAATTGAAAGGGAATCTGCCTGCTGTTTTTTTTCTTTTGGGGAGTTCAAACCAGGAGCTGGAGGAACCAGATGAATTGAACCCGGCAGGAATACCATGCCCAGAAAATAATACTGTATTTAGAATTGGACTGGACTTTGCAAGTATGGATATGTGAATAGATAGGGAATGTTTTTAGTTAAATGAGATCAGGTTATTTTCTTTATTTGGTTAAACTCCTCTGTGCTGAGTCCATGTGCCTCTTCCTCTCTCCCCCACTAACTAAAGCTGAATCCCAGGGAAGCAGTTCTTTGTTTTAATCTGTTTTTCTCAGTCGCTCTAACACACCTAGCAACCAACTATGTTTTACCAAGTATATCTTTTTGTTCTGTTCATAAAATCACCTTTTTAAGACTACGATCTGATTCTTGTGTACTGAAAAGTAATAGGACAACTTTTGTATACATGCTTAAGAAGGAGAGGTCAGCTATCCGAGATTACAGTTTGGTTTCTTTTTTTAATCTCTCTTGTGGTAAAAGAGCTTGGGGTACCCCTCTGGAAGAAGTTCCCAAATAATTTCTTCCTAGGTTCAGGAAGAAAGGGTTTTTTCCCAGTTGGGTGGTAGTAGCATACCTCCCAAGTCAGGGAATCTGTGACTTGGGAAGTTTTTAAGAAAAAGCCTATAGCAACAAGATATTTGTAAAGGTCCCTTGTGGGTCCCCACCTTCTGCACTCAGAATGGGGAACAGCCTTGACACTTTGCTTGCCATTCAATTTGTTTTCCAACTGCTTTCTCTATCTTTTTAATTGGACACTTTAAACTTCTTTTTCAGGTTTTCCATTACTCTCTCAAGGGCCATATTTTTATATTATCTATTGCACACATGTACGTTCTGTCAAAAGAACATTAACATTGCAAAGACAAGTGATGGGGCAAGTGGGAGTAACTAATATGGGACTTTATTAATAAAGCTGTAAAGGAGGATAATGTAACTAATGCAAATCAACATAGTTTTATGGAAAGTAGAGCCTGGTCAAATGAACTTGATAGTTTTTTTTTAATGAGATTATAATTTTGGTTCTTAAAAGCACTAGCATTGGCTTAGTATATCGGACACCTTCAAGGCATTTGACATAGTACATGACAAAAGCCTAGAATTATATAAAATTAATATGGCACATAAATGGATTAAAGCTGTCTGACAGATTTCAAAATGTACCTAAACAGGGACTCCTCATCAAGCATATGTTTCCAATATGATTTTGCAGGGATTTGTCCTTGGCCCTGTGCTATTTAATTTATAATCCATGACCTGATAAACCACTGATAAAATTTGCAGACAATACAAAAATTAAGGGGAAAGGTCAATAAGTAAGAGGAGAGGTCACCCATGCACAGCTATCAGAATTGGTTAGTAAACTGGAGGCAAGCAAACAATATGGGTTTTAATGTGACTAGCCATAAAATGTATACAGTACATCTAGAAACACAGATGTTGGCCATAATTATGAGATGGAGGACTAGATCCTGGGAAGCAGTGATTCTGAAAAAAGATTTGGGGTTTGTGGTGGGTGGGAAATCAGATGAACAAGAGCTCCCCTATAGTGATTCTGTGCCACTAAAGGGCCATGGGTGCACAAGCATGGGAATCTCAGCTTGGCACAGAAAGGTTAATTTACTACAGTTTGGTACTGGGGCAACCGTTTCTGGAATATTGCGTTCACTTCTGTGTCCAGACTTCAGGAAGGATGTTAATAAATTAGAAAGGATTCAAAGAAGAGCCAAAAGAATATTTCAAGTTTTAGGAACTGCCTTAGTGACAGAGTCAAGGAATTCACTTAAGAAAGAGAAAGTTAACTTAAGAAAGAGAAAGTTAAGGGGTGACTTGATGAAGTACCTACACAACAGTATTTGATAATGGGCTCTTCAATATAGCAGACAAAAGTAAAACAAATGTGACAGCATATTTCATATTCTTTATGGAAATATGCTTATGAATATGCTTAACTGAAATGCTTTATGCAAATTAATTCTTTTAAGGTACCGTTGGAAAGTTTGTAATCTGCTGAATGATTTGTGTGCATGCATCATTCTTGTATTACAAGTTAGAAATAGGAAGTACAAACCTCTTTAGATATGCTAAGTGAGGGCCATTAGTAGACTCAAGGTGCTTAATGGCCTAGAACACCGGTCAATGATCTATGAATAGTGTTGTTCTTCCAGTAAATCTAGAGCAGTTCTCAAACTTTTTGGAGCAGGATGGGCCATGGACAATGCAAACCTTTCCATGGTCTAGCAGATGCTAATGGAAACTCGTCATTAATTATATAATTTCTCTTGAGCCATTTTCCTATGCTGCAATAAGGAGAATTTTAATTTAATTTAATTTAACCACTAAGAAAGAAAATATTAATCAAAACTATTAAACAGGTTAAGTGGTAAACCAACATGAGAAAGTTAAAGCAAACTTTATTTAAAATGAAGTCAAATATTAATTTATGTCCAATACAAAAGGTTTCAACATTGTATTTATTTATGGTAGGGATGGGAAACCTTTTTTGGGTCAGGGGCCACTGACCATTGGGGGGGGGGAGGAAACAGTCAGGGACCACACAAGTGAGAACAACCCCTCACTTATATGGCCCACAACTGACATCTCTCACTCCTGTGGTTTTCCAGCCCTGGGGCGGGTGAGGCAGGTGAGGAACAGGGAGAACTGAGGTTCACGGCTTCCCAAAGGCCATATTAACTCTTCAGGGGGTCCACAAAATCCACTAACCTGCAACCCCCTAGGCTTTGGGGTGGCCAATAATGAGTGATTCAGTGTCTGGGATGGTGCTGCCAGCAAGTGGGATAGGGATGGGCATGTAGGGTCTGAGCAGGAGGTGGACGGTGCAAGGTCTTGCCAGGAAGAATGGTGCAGGAACTGGCTGAGAGTAGAGTCTGGCCAGGAGGGAGGGTGCAGAAACAGGATGGGAGTTGGGTGCCCCGACAGGGGGATGATTCGTGTGCATGTATCATTGCAGGAGCAGGCTAGTGGTGTAGGGGAGTCAATGGGGTGGGTAGATGAGGAGGTGGGGTGCAAGATCTGGGCATGAGGAGAAGGGGGGCACTTACATGCCTTTGCATGCCTCTCAGCTTGTAAGCACATGTCCCAGGCACAGCTTCCCACTGCTCCCATTGGCTGGATTCCAGCCAATGGGAGCAGCGGGGAAAGTCTCCAGGCAGCATGTCTGTATACCTCTGCGCCTGCAGTTGGGGGAGGTGGAGCTGCTTCTTGGCTCCACTTTTTCCCTGCAAGCTGGATTCAGCGGGGAAGCTTGGGGCTTACCACCCAGATGCACAGAAACATGAATGCTGGAAACATCTAAGTCTGAATAGGGAAAAGGATCAGACGCAAGGTGGGAGGCTTTCCAGCTTCTGAGAAAAGATTATTAGAACTAATATTAGGATTAGAAATTACATGTAATACATTTCTTAGAATGTTAGGCTTCATTTTTTTTTTAGTTTGCTTAATAACTTACTTTGATCTGTCTGCTATCACTTGTAACCATTGAAATCCTACTTTTTATACTTAATGAAATCTCTTTAGAAACCCAGTGTAAAAATTGTTACCTGGATGGAGGGGAACCACAGCTGTGTATCTCTATATTTCATTAATAAAAGGAGACAAACAATTTGAGCTTGCTCTGTATAAAACTGTATACTGAATCAGATGGATTTACCTGGGGTTCTGTGCATCTGGGTGTTGTGACAAAGGTCGCTGAGCCTTTCAAGAGTTTAGATGATCTCAGTGTCTTTGTTGCTCTGCTGTGGGCTGTGATCCCAATTCTGTGCTAGCTCTGGAGTAGATGAGATGTTCTAGATCAGCAGGACTGAGTGATGAGCACCCCAGAAGACAAATAGGCAGACTCAGTGGTTTTTCAGCACAGCACATGATAGCATCAAAGAGATCTCTGTGACCAAACCCATCACAACAAGATCTCATGGCTGGAAATTGAAGCTAGACAGACTAGAAATGAAATGAACAATTTTATTTTTGAAAAATAAAGATAATTAACAGTTGGGACAATTTTCCAAGAGTCATGGTAGAGTCTCTGTCACTGGCATTTAAAAAAATATCTAATCTTGATTTTAAAGATTTGTTCTTTTGGAAGTTCTATAATCTGTATTGTGCAGAAGGCCAGACACAACATGATCACATGGTCCCAACTGGCCTTGGAATTGATCAATTGAGTTAGTAAGGAGAACAACCTGAAAAAGGATCAACTATTCTCTCTGTAGGGAGCACCAGGTTTCAGAGAAGGGGATGATCAGGGAGACCAGAATGAAGTACACACAGTGGTGGGATAGAGTAAGCTCTGAAACCGAATCCTGCAATTTAGGAGTGGGACAGCAAGCAAACAAAAGTACAGGCAGAGAAAGATGTGGAGTGACCTGATAAGAGGGGAAATGAAGGGGCTTGAGAAATTCAGTTTGAATGTTAATTTAATAAAACTGAACCTGAGAAGGGCATGAACCAAAGGGTTAGTGAGTTATTGACGAAGCCCCTTGACAAGAGAAGCTGAGGCACGTGGCTGCTCACAGGGATGCCCTGAAAGGGCACACAAGAAGCAACCACTCAATGGCAGCGTAGTGTTCTTTGCCTTCTCAGTGCTGAGTAGCACACAGCCATATGGTCTTATGGTCCTTTCCCCAAAAGGAATCATCATATTTTGTTCTAGTACAGCCAGGGACCATGACTGTACCTAAGTCATCAGAATCCCTAGAGAGCTGTTTAGTCCCCAGTACCCTATAGTCTTAATTGTCACAGCTAAGGTCAGTCAACAAAGGGCTCAATAATTATCCATATCACCAATTGTTTTTGTTATGCAGGTTTTGCTTTGGAATGGAGCTAAGACCCTGCAGTTGTTTCAGAGAGGCCACCACAAGGGGATGACAAATCAGGAGGAAGTTTCTAGAAAACTATTGTCCAACTGTCTGCATGTAGAGGAAAGGGGAAGTTCTACAGCAAACATTCACACCAACTCTACTGGCTCCAGTCACAGCCGATTTCACAAAGAGCTTCCATGAACCAGTCAGTTTTAGTAATAGATTTTGGCTGTTAACTAGAGACATCAGTTTCTCAATGTATAATACTATGAACTATCAGTCTCTCCCATGTTTACCAAATCAGGACAATAACTCACAAAACCATGGCCTTCATTCCAGCTAGTGAAACAAAAACCTAATGCAAATCACTCAACTCTGGCCATGGTTTCAAGGCTTTTTAGTCTGCTTCATACAGCTGTGATGCATCAGTATTTCTCTTAAAAATTAGTGTGCATAGTGGCTGATACCACCTACCCCCTGATGCCATGGCTGATGAAACCCTACACCGGCCACCTGGATGCGAGCAAGGAGCAGTTTAATGCTCATCTTAACTTGGCTCGCAACCAGGTGGAATATGCATTCAGGCTTTTAAAAGGGAGATTCTGGTGCTTGCTCACACGGCTAGACATGGGGGAACGCAACATCCCTGAGGTGGTGGCCACGTGTTGCGTTCTCCATAACCTGGTGGAGAGGAAAGGGGAGGCCTTCCTACCAGGGTGGAGTACAGGTGCTGATGGTCAGGAGAGGCACTTTGACCAGCCCCAGACAACTGCCATCTGCCAGGCTCGCCAGTCTGCTGTTCGCATCCGGGAGGCCCTACGGGAGCAATTCTCAAATGGAGGCCACTGACTGTCCTGAGGGGCTCCTGTCTGGGGGCTTGGCCCTGGCCCAATACAAGCTTCCCTCCTCAACCCTTATGCTGACCCTGTTTGTAAAAATAATAAACACCAGAGTTTGTCTGAAAAGAATAACTTCTGTTTTATTGTTATAAATATCCATAACTGAAAGAATGTATAACTGTTGCAAACATAAAAAAGGTTTTGTTTATTTTTGATGGAGAAAGTGTACTTTCATGACAAACTATGTACAATAAACATTTTCTTAAACACAATGTTTGGTATTTAACTGGGGTGATGGGGGTGCTTGAAACCTGGAGAGGGGAAGGGGATCAGGTTGCACAGTGCTTGCAGTCTCCTGCTGGTGCCTCATGTTCGGGGTCCACCATGGCCTCGGGATCGGGTGGAGCGACTGCCCACAGCGTCTACATAGAGTTTGGGTTGCAGTTAGAGTTGCCAGGTGTCTGGTATTGACCCGGATAGTCCGGTATTTTCACCTCCTGTATGATTAAAAAAAAACCAGAAAATACCGGACACCTAAAATGTCCGGTATTTTCTGGTTTTTTTCCCCTGCTAGGAGGTGAAAATACCGGACACCTGGCAACTCTACACACACTCAGCAACCGGGCCCAGTCCCCGAGCCCCCTCTCTCCCCGGGCCCTCGGACCCTCCCCTGCTTACCTGGTGCAGCAGGGAAGCTGTCTTCTGGCTTGATCAGGAAAATAAGATGGCCGCTGGCAAAAAGCTTCAATGGCCTTTTCTTAAAGGCACCATGTTGCTTTATTTTATTTTATTTTATTTTTTTTGCTTAATAGCTCTCGGGGTCCTTTTTTATTTTTGGCTCAACAACTTTGGTCTCCCCCCCCCCCCTTTTCCTGTGTCTACGGCTCCCATGTCCCCGGGGTGGAGATGGAGGTGGGGCTGGGGTGCTGCGGCCCTCTTCCACGGCTGGTCTGGCTGTGGAGGAAAAGAAGAACACACAATCAGTCCTAAAAACTGGACTCTGTAGCACTTAAAATACTAACAGGATGGTTTATTAGGGGATGAGCTTTCGTGGGCCAGACCCACTTCCTCAGATCAGAGTAACACGGCTACATTTCTATCACAATCAGTCATGTGTGCAACAGCTGTCCAAAAGGGCATGCCCTCTCCTTGAGACAGGGGAATCAGACATTCTGAAGGTAACACTGTGTGTGACCTGGGCATCAGCCTGAGCATGACAGGTTTCCCTTGTGCATCACCCACTGTGCACCCACCTACCCGCCCCGCTCCCCCGGGTGTTACACAACCTCACTGCCCTCACCTGCTGCTTCATCTCCAGCATCAGATGACACCTGGGAGGCCTCTGGGGTCTGGGTGATTGGCTCCAGAGTGAGGGTCATGGTCTCCTTGCTGTCCTCCTCCTCCGCACTATCTCCCGTCTCCAGACTCCCCTGACTGGTTTGGTCCTGCTCTGGCACATCCACCACAGGGCCAAGCCAAGCCAGACTGGATGAGACGCAGTGGTGTGCGTGCTTCCCCACCATAAAGGATCTGCGCAAGCTCCCAATAATAAGGGCAGTAGTGGGGGGCTGCGCAGCCCTGGCACAGCTCTTTCACTTTGGAGCACACCTGGTCCTGGTTGCAGGGGTGGTGCCCTCTCTTGGCCAGGGCCTCTGCCATGCGGCCAAAAATGTCTGCATTTTGCCACCTGGTGTTCAGGTCTTGTAAGGCCTCCTCCTCTGACCAGAGCTCAAGAAGGGTCTTGACCTCTGGCCCAGACTTTGCCAGCGCCCAGCGTTTGAAGCCCTTGGTTGGGTCCCCAAAAGGCTGTCAGGAAGGGGACTGTCCCTTTAAAAGATGGCTGCAGACAGGAACCAGAGACATGAAAGGAATACCCCAGATTGTCCACCAGGGTGTCTTCCTGGAGGCCTTATTTTCAAAAAAATGTGCTCCCCGCGTCCACACACACTTATTTTCGACGGATCTCAGTCGAAAAAGGCGTTCTTCCTAGTGAAATGTGGAGTACCGCCGTCGAAAGAAAAGCCGCAATCTTTTGATTTAATTTCGAAAGAACGTGGCTGTAGTCTAGATACAGGTGAAGTTTTTTTGAAAAAAGGCTACTTTTTTTTGAAAAAAAAAAAATACCTACAGTCTAGACATAGCCCTAGAAAGAGCTAAGGAGGGCAATCTAAAATGGAATTAAAAACAAGTTGTACTGTAATTGACTGCAATATCATACAGGGGACCCTGGCTGACTTCCCAAGAGGTCAAACCACAGAGGCAAGTATTGGACAAAGATTCAGTGTGGACATGGTTACCTTATAATGATGCTGCCACAACACACAAAGAATTGGTGACCAGTTGTCCTGTCCTGGCATACTGTGATGTGAACAAAGAGAAACCAACAATGTGATGACAGTGAAACAGAGCTTGGTATTGGGGTATGTTTCCCACAGACATTATCACATCAAGACTGCAATCCCCAATGGGAAGAAGATACACCCAAATGAAAAGGAACATATTGCTAGTGCTTCAGAATGAAGAGTCTGTTATTGGAACAGAACATTTCAATGTTCCTTTTCAAAATAACTTTTCATTTTTAAATTTTTTAAATAATGATTCTCAACATCATGTCTTGATCAACCCCAAAATTCTACTTCATAGGAAGTTCCAGGTTCCTTCCCCTTCAGATTTAGAACAAACTTTTAAATCTCAGTATTTTTAATTAAACAGAAATTCCAGTTACCCAACAGTTCTAATGCCATGTGTGCTGGGCAGAGAGGCACAGACAGAGTACAATTATGTAGTCTGTTATCACATTGTATACAACTCAGTGGGTCAGTATGGTCGTTCCTTGTTACTAGGAAATAAACCACCATAAAGTTGGTGTTGAAATAGAAGGAAATGCCCATGTAACTAGCTGTGACATTTCATTTCTCCCGAGATTTAGTACAGAAACCTCGTCTTAAGAAAATCCTAAGAAAAAACAAGGGGACTAGATGGTGAAAGGGACTGTAAACATGGTGACTGCTGCTTAAAGGGGGAAGAAAGGATGGTAGAATTGTTTCATATAAACCAGGAAATGGAGTCTTTCACCTTTGGGACACAGTCATTCCAGGCTTAATGGGAACTGAGATCTGGGGAAGCACTTTTGCCTATTCTCCAGGCTACTACACTAGGCCCCACAATCCCTTGCGGAAGAGAGCCTTCTATTCCAATACTCGCAGCTCACCAATACCAATAATTGAATAGACTAGCACCTTTCCACACTTTTTCAGAGCACAGGGTGTTCTGTGGGATTATATTCTGTGTCACTCCACCTTATTCTCTGTCATTGTACCTTTGAGCTCACTCCCCATCATTTGTCCCACAGACATCTCCATGTCTTTGTAATCCCTTCCCATTCCTGAAATGGTGGCCATTTTGCAGTGATGGAGCATTTTCAGAGGTCCAACAGACCTTCTTAACATATTTACTCTTTTTGGGAAGGGGGGGTTAAGCAAAAGGATCAGGAGCCTACCCCAAAAGGGACTCCAGAAACTGAGACTTTCAGTGGAACTGCAAACATAGGACGATGCAACAGTTCCCATAAGCTTTCAAAACTTCAGAATTATCATTTGACAATGCAATGTTCAGAGAGAATTTTCAGCAGCTCTCTGGAAAACTTCCCAGTGTAGTGGTGTTTTGCAATTTTACTATACAGGCAGTCCCCGACTTACGCGGATCCGACTTACGTCGGATCCGCACTTACGAACGGAGCTTTCTCGCCCCGGAAGTCGGGGCGAGAAAGCCCCGTTCGTAAGCTGCTCCGGGGCCCCCGGGCTACTGGAGACCGTCCCCAGCAGCCCACAGGCACCCAGACTGGAGCGGCAGCAGCGGCGGTTCCCCGCGGCTGCGGCTTCAGTCCGGGTGCCTGTGGTCTGCTGGGGACCGTCCCCAGCAGCCCACAGGCACCCAGACTGGAGCGGCAGCAGCGGCGGTTCCCCGCGGCTGCGGCTTCAGTCCGGGTGCCTGTGGTCTGCTGGGGACCGTCCCCAGCAGCCCACAGGCACCCAGACTGGAGCGGCAGCAGCGGCGGTTCCCCGCGGCTGCGGCTTCAGTCCGGGTGCCTGTGGTCTGCTGGGGACCGTCCCCAGCAGCCCACAGGCACCCAGACTGGAGCGGCAGCAGCGGCGGTTCCCCGCGCCTCTGAGGCTTTGCCAGAGCAAAGCCTCAGAGGCGCGGGGAACCGCCGCTGCTGCCGCTCCAGTCTGGGTGCCTGTGGGCTGCTGGGGACGGTCTCCAGTAGCCCGGGGGCCCCGGAGCAGCTTACGAACGGGGCTTTCTCGCCCCGACTTCCGGGGCGAGAAAGCTCCGTTCGTAAGTGCGGATCCGACGTAAGTCGGATCCGCGTAAGTCGGGGACTGCCTGTAATGTGCTATTTTGTCCCTTACCCACTACCTCATACAGAAACAAATATTCAAAGTTAACCCTCATTACTTAAAAACAGAAAGCTAATATCCTGCATCTGCTGGAAATTGATAGGACTCACTTTATTTTTGCGGTTTCAACACTAAGATCCATTTTCCCCTCATCAAAACATCTTTTCAACATATCAGTCAGTTCCCATACCAGACCAACTCTGTTGCAATCCTTTTTATCTCCTAAACACATACTTTTACATGCAGAGTTAAAAAAAAAAAAAAAAGGCATGACAAACTCTGTACTAATTTTACAATCCCAGAATTAAATTGCTTCAGCTCATGTTCCTCCCTTGCTACCCAACACCCACTTCCGGCATATGCTGGTGCCTGGAAACTTGCACAAGTTTATACATCTCCAAGACCTCATCACCAGCAAGAATGCTGTCAATATTTTCTGTTTTCATTTTTAAACCTAGGATTTTTGGCTCTGGCTTTGTAAACACAGCCTCAAGAAAAATGTGGAGAGAAAAAAAAAAAAAGCAAACTTGATCTCAACCCCGTTATTGGATAAATACTTGGTCACCCTGTTAATGGAAGGTACACTTAACAATGGATGAGCTCCAGGAAAGATCAGTAGCAGTAAGTGAAGATTTTCAAATCAAAATGATACAAGAATATCCACACTTCCTGAACTGTGTGGTTTGAAACTGTACTAGAACAATGTGGTTTTGCCACTTCCAGCCAAATCTAGAGATTGCAAAAGTCTGTAAAAATGGAACAAACCAAAGAAAACCAAAACCAACCAATTAAACTTTTTCAAATAAAAGAGCCCAATGGGCCAAAACCTAACAAATGCAGGGGTTGGCAATAATGTTTGATAGGTACGTGATTAAGTGCTTCACTTTTCTATGGAGGAGGTTCAGGGTCTGGAGATTGGGTGCAGAAGGGAGCTCCAGGTAGCGGACTGGAGTACAGCAGAGGATGGGGGTGGGAGGCGGGAGGGTCTGAAAGGCAGTTAGGAGAAAGGAGAGGGTTGTGACCTAAGACAGGGGTGCAAGTTTCTGGAGGGGGTATAGGTGCAGAAGATGCTGACCTGGGGGAAAGTGTGCAGGAGGTACAGTACTTTGGGTTTGGACCTGGGGTAGGGGATTGGGATACAACAGTGGGTGCAGGGTCAGGAAGGGAGTACGGGCGCAGGAAAGGATTCTGGCTTGGGAGAGAGATGTTGGATCTGGGAAGGAGTTGTGACCTGGGGAAAAAGAGGATACAGAGGATTTGGGACCTGGGGGCAGTCTGGGAAGGAGTTGTGACCTGGGGAAGAAGAGGATACAGAGGATTTGGGACCTTGGGGCAGGGAATTTGGGTGTGTGGGGGGAAGGGGGGTGCCAGATGCAGGATTATGTGTGTGTGTGGGGGGGGGGTGTGCCAGATGCAGGATGAGGTGCTTACCTAGGTGGCTCCCCACCCAGCAACCCAGTGGGATCTTCCCCAGGCCACTCAAAGCAGTAGGCTGCTGGGGCCACAAGCTTCTTGAGGCAGCATGGGGAGACTGTGCACTATGCCCGTCACTAGCATAATCACTGCAGCTCCCACTGGCTGATTCCATGGGCCATATTTTGCCCATCCTTGAACAAGAGCTATGGACTCTACACACCTAACAACCAGCAGTTAAAGATACAAACATGAAAAATCACCCAGGTACAGGACAGCTGAAAAAGTTGGCTTAAGCTGCTCTTTTGGAAAGGCACACCCCTAAAAACAGCCACCTCTTCCCTTAATTCAAGACTTTGAGAACAGAAGGTGCACTAAACCAGCTTCTGATAGGCTAGAGTTGCATACAACTCTACTTGAAAAATATGGTATTTGGTGTCATTAGTCACTATCCAAATAAGTGTGAAACTGTTCTGCTTAGGCCTATCATTAAAACAGCTTGGCTTCTTTATCGGAAAAATACTATTGTGATTCAGGTTATTTTAAACTATCAGGCTTTCAAGTTATTTACAAATATAAAGTAAAGTTACTTCACAGCAAGTCCATTAGGAAGAATGGCAATTACATCAGATTACCAAAGTGGTTCCTTTGTCTCCAGAGAGCCTTCACAGTTGTTTTGCTGATTCAGGATATAATCTGTTTAAAGACTACAGGCCATATCCAGCCTACACACAAGCAGGTTACAAGTTTGATAGTAGTGGACAAGCATTAAGTTATACCAGTGACTAAATGTGGCTCTACAGCGGGGTGGGTGATAATTTTTGATGGGGGAGGCCACTCCAAGGCTTTGGAAAACGGTCAAGGGCCACTCTCTTCCTTGACACCAGTGGAGGTGTGGGGTCTGGGATGGAGGTTGGGCACAGAAGGGAGCTTGGGGTAAGAGACTGGGGTGCTGGAGGGAGTGTGGGGTCTGGGAGTGAGTTTGGGTGGAGACAGTTGTGACCTGGGGCAAGGATTGGGATGCAGGGATGAGGAGAGGGTATGGGTTCAGAAGAGGGGCAGAGGGTTTTGCTTATATGGAGTAGGGGGCAGTGGGTTGGGGATGGAAGGGGCTGGGATGCCAGAGGCAGGCTCTGGCCAGGACACTTACCTGGCAGGAACACAGGTTTCTCAGGCAGCCTCCTTTGCCTGCCCCTTCTCAACACAGACTGCAGGGGGCATGTGCATGGGTAAATAAAAGCCTGAGGGGACAGGGGAGTCATGCTTCACATGTTGCCTGTTCTTCAAACAGGAAGCTCCAATTGGTTAGAAACCAGCCAATGGGATTCTGCTGAGTGCAGATGCAGTGTATGAAGCCTCTCTCTCCCGCCCCCCCACCCCCCCCCCCTTCGCCCT